TTTGGAGGAGGAGGAGGGGGGGGGGGGCATTGGTACACTAGTTGATGTGTTGAGATCTTATTTTCAAGTCATAGTTCAAGTTCTGGGAGCTTCCTGGACCCTCCATCACAACCTTGATTTGGTTCAGAACACGCATGGAAAATGATTGCCAAATTTAAACCAAACTTAAGTTGGTTTGGTTTTTTAATTTGGTTCTAATTGGGGCTGTATTGTGCCTTTTTTTGTTTAGTTGTGTTCTTACGGTTTTGGAAAAACACTACCAACCTAAAACCAAATTACATCTGATCTGGTTTTGTTTGGAATAATGGACCAAATCATAATGAAACCTTAAACTTTCTTTGCATCTTACTTTCAATGAAGTTTTGGGTAGCAAATGCGGCAAGACTGTGTACATCTTGACCCAAAGACCCCAATGGTGTTGAGATTACATTGGGTATATTTTCGTTATGGTATTATTTTGAATTTCTCGTTCCCTTCTCATTGTGTTTGGTTTGTTTCAGGTGCCTATTGCCATTGGTGGTCCGGGATTGGCACCCGGAGTGAGATTCCGCAAAGATGTCCCGACTGGAGGGCTTGCCAATGTTGCTGCAACCGTTATGAATCTGCACGGTTTCGAAGCACCCAACGACTACGAAACCACGTTGATCGAGGTTGGTGACAACTAAATGACTGGGATTTCAGGGAGATTTGATTTTTATAGTTATTGAAATTTTGACATCACTATGAGTCACACATATTGGAATAAGATCTTTTTTCCCCCAAAAGACTGCCATCTTCAGGGCCGTTTTTGCTTCTCAAGAATGGTTAGAGATCTCTAGGATGAGAGATGTATTACTCTTGTATTTACCCATTTTCAAGAAAGTGCAATTTCCTTAAAGTTTTTATGCTTTCTTTCCCACATTTAGGGTCCGTTTCGTGCACAGAATTGATAGAATTAGAAGTGAATTGAAAATTTAAATTCTATGAAATTGATTTGGATGAAATTGAAGTCTCCAATTATAATTCATTTTTGGCACTACCAATTCCAAATTCACGTATTTTTGTGCTACCAAACAGCATAATTGGAATTGTTGTCCCCAATTCCAATTCCATAATTTGAATTCCGTGTACCAAATGGAGCCTTACCCTTTGTTTTGATGATGTTTTTAGACGTTATTTTGTCGTGTGAAGTACTTTTATTTTAAATTCTTTGCTAAATCTGACTTTTCAAAAATTGCAATGTGAAATTTGAATATTAAAATACACTGTATATTTGGTGTTCCTTTTATGGACTCCAGAATAAAGTTTTCATCTTTTGGAAAAGAAAAAAAAATTGTGTTCCATATTATTTCTTTCCTCTCCATAAACTTGTCTAGTGCCTGGATGATGGGTTATCAGTTGTCACTTATGCCTTGTTCTTTTAGGTTGGAAAAATTAACTTTTTTCAACTCTTTCCAGTTTCTTCCAATTCTTTCTTGTTTCTTCCAACGACTTAAAAAAGTATTTATATATGATGATTATATACAATAACATTATATATTTAAATTTAAAGCATACCACTTCAAACACGAACAATGATGAATTTTTTTATCTGAACTTATAGTTTTATAAAATATTTATTTACATGATCATTTAATTGAGTGATTTTTTAACACTTAAATTCTTCTAATATTTTCTAACTTCTTCAAGTTTTTTCTTACTCCTAGTTTCGTCAACTTTTTCCAGTTTTTTTCAACATTCAACTCTGAAATTTTAACCTGCATGCGTTCGAAAATATTATTGACGGATAGTTTTTAACAGCAACATTTTTTTAGTGATTTGTATCATTAAAAAATACGGAGTATCCAAAGAACACTAATATAAATCGGCCCGGTTCCCCAGTGGCCATGGAACCGGGCCGAATATAAATTGTACAACTAAAATGTTATTTTCAAACAAAGCTTGAATTGAACTAAATTAGGACTTTTTCTACGTTACCCACAGGGTAGGATTGTAAACGAATCGAATTGAATCGAATATTCGTATTCGTTAAAATAAAGTGATATTCGAATTCGGTTCGAATATTTTTTAAGATTCATATTCGGTTTGTTATATATATATTAAACATATTTGGTTCGTTTAAAAATTTGATTCGTTTAAATATATTCGGTTCGTTTATAAATATTCGATTCATTTAGATTTTAAAATATTTTATAACCATTTGAGTTATCTATCAGCTATTATGTGTTCATAAAATATGCAAATATATGGAATGTCGTCTGGAAGTTAGGATTGATTCTCACCTAGTGCCTAAGGTGGACAAGTTTCGGTATCTTGGCTCGGTAGTTCAGGCTGATGGGGAGTTAGACGGGGATGTTGGGCATCGTGTTGGAGTGGCTTGGGCCAAATGGCGGTTGGCTTCAGGGATGTTGTGTGATCCGAAGATTTCGCCCAAGATGAAAGGTGAGTTCTACCGGTCCTTAGTCAAACCTGCTATGTTATATGGGGCAGAGTGTTGGGCAGTTAAGATGACTCATGTGCGTCGTCTACATGCGGCAGAGATGCGAATGTTGCGATGGATGTGTGGGAAGACAAGGTTGGATAGGATTTCGAACGAAGTTATCCGACGTCAGGTAGGCATGGCGCCGGTGGAAGATAAGCTGTGGGAAGCGAGGTTGAGATGGTTTGGTCATGTGAGACGGCGGAATGCGGACGCCCCTGTACGGAGATGCGAGAGGATTACGGTCATCGGGGGAAGTAGGGGTGGGGTAGACCTAGGAAGAATTGGAATGAGGTGATTAGGCAGGATTTAGGACTTCTCGCCCTGACTGAGGATATGGCTTTAGATAGGAACCTTTGGAAAACTAGGATTAGAATAGCTGGTTAGGGGCCCGGTGCCTCTGAGGTTTTTTGTAGTGTGTTTTGTTTGGTTGGAATCCTTTGCTTTTGCTTGCAGGACTTTCATTCCATTGTACTTGGTGTTTTATCTGTGTTCTATTGTGCCCTATCATATTTTTTGTGCAGGTTGGAACCGGGGGTCTCTTGGAAACAGCCTCCCTACTTCCGAGTAGGGGCAAGGTCTACGTACACACACCCTCTCCAAACCCTACTGTAGTGGGATTCAACTGGGTTGTTGTTGTTGTTGTAAAATATCCAAATATATATTTTATAACCAATCAATATATATTATTTCTTTAATTAAATCTATATTTTGGATATATTTGTCAAACTCACGAATCGAATATCCTTGATTCATATTCGTATTCGATAAGGATTCAAATATATATTCAGATTCGTATTTGTATTCGAATTTGTAAAAATCGAATATGAATCACCTCATACGAATACAAATCACGAATCGAACAAAAAATATTCGATTCATTTACAACCCTACCACAGGGTATGAAACTATTTCCTCGAGCTCTATTCACACGTTCGGAGTTTTTTCGAGTGTGGATTATTCTTCGAGACAGATGCGAAACTTGGAACTTTTTTTTAGCAAGATTTATACTTGAAATTATTTTTTAGAAGATTACCCAAACATTGCAAAAAGATTTCCTTAAATTTTGTCTCAAAAACATACTTGTATTTAATGATATACTCCAGCAACTATTATATGTGACATGAAAATAACTTGCTGTACATACAAATAATTAGTGTGTGTGTGTAATAGACGATCTAAATTGTTACTTTCAAGGCAGCTTCCGCGATCTAAATTAGTAAGAATAGTAACAACAGACTGGTAAAATTTATCAAAATTAATATTTGAAGAAATGGTATATGTACGCAGATTTTATCATGGCCATGTTCATTAAATGTACGTAAATCTGATCTGATCTTATTTGATTCTACTTTTATTTAAAACTTTTTTTAATCTTATATGATTTCAAAAAGAACAAGTAATTACTAGTAAAAATAAATTGAAGAGAACAAACTCTATACTAAGGGGGCGTTTGGTTCATGCTGAGGAAAGGGAAAGGAAACAGGAAAGGAAATGAGGGGGAAAGGGAATGATTACCCCTGAATTACTCTGTCTGTTTGGTTCAGTGCAGGAAAGGGAATAGAATTCCCTTTGTTTGTGTTTGGTTCAAAACAGGGGAATCAATTTTTTTTACACAGCTATGATCAATTTGTTTAAAATAATACTTATTTATTTTATCAAAGATACAATTAAACAAAATTCACACATAGAGTTTTTATCTTCTTGAATCGCTCGAGATCGACGCAAAGTTTTACTCAGTGAATACCACATCATACAACATAAAACCACACAGTTAATCATCAAGAACAAGAAGCTATGAAACTTCAATTTTCTTTGACTCCTCTTTCTCAAAGAGAGACCAGATCGAACCATTCCTGTTCAAATTTTTTAAAAAAAACTTTCAGATTTGAGGAAGATCATCATCATCACTGGGGTTGTTTGGGTTGTTTTTGGCAACATTTTTTTTGCAATAAAAATTGAGGGATTTCAATTGAATTCTAAAAAATTTGAAAAAAATTTGTAAACGAATCTGTAAAAATACTTGTAAAAAATTTGTAAAAAATTATGTTACAAAAACACATAGAATGCAGAGAGTGGGGG